TCCAGGCTGAACCCCCCCAGCTCCCCCAGCCGCTCCCCAGCAGCCTGGGGCTCCAGACCCCTCCCCAGCTCCGCTGCCCTTCTCTGGACATGTTCAAATGTTATGAATGAAGTTAATGGCTTTTCAATACTTGAAATCTTTCCCACAAGGCTGAGAACTACCAGCAATCTCAGCCTTCAGGGTAACACTCAAGACTGACTTAACTTTCCACACGCGCAACCTTTCACAGCGTAAAGGCAGAATTCCGAGCCAGCCTGTATCTGTCAGACATCACGACGAGGATACATCCAACGTGTCTGAGTAGCCCACCCAAGCACACAAGGTCAGCACGCGGGACGTTTCGGGAGTTACTAGTGACAAGTAGAAGACCGAAAGGGAGCCAGTAGCCTCATGTGTTAAGAGTTCCCCGACCCGGGAAGGGACATTTCCAGAAAACAAGTTACTGTATATACAAAGGTTGCACATTCAGAAGACATTCGCCCACAGGGCTACACGTGAACCCCTATTTTTCATCAACACTAAAACATTGATTTATTTTTTTTTTTTAAATCCTATAGTTCCTGAACATACTGTTTTTTTCACAGCAGTTTTGGAGGAAAAGTGTTTTAGTGTTTTTACGGCTACGAGAATTCTCCAAAGGCAAAGTAATCCACCCAAACACGAGTCTCTGGCACGTCATGGATGTTGATGGTCAGCTGGGGAAAAACCACAAGCTCCGTAACATTTTCAAAGATGTGGAAGTAGACTAACTAAAAGGACAGAGGAGTTAAATCCAAAAGCGTTAGGAGACGCGACAGGCGCTGAACAAATGAGGCACAAAAAGACCAAGTTGCCTGCAGCGGATGGAGCTTTGGAGCCCCCTGATCTGAAAGTGGTTTAAGCTTTGCCTGGCTTAAGTTTTAAGTTTCTCTCCCCCATAGCTGGGTCTCACTGCTTAGATTGGGTGAGGAGGAAGGAAAAAAAACCTCAGTACATCTTCAGAAGGCCAGTGGCTCCCTGCTCCTTCCCTTAAAACACTGGGTGTGAGATCAGCCGGGCAAGCACCAGACCACAGGAGCGCTGTGCTCCAGCAGAGCTTGGCTGGATGGAAGGAACAGCACAGGAACTGGTGAAGACCAAAACCCTTACAAACCCAAAACCCAGCTCACGGAATCAACGGACAGAATAGTTTGGTTGGGGAACGAAGAAAGGACAGCCTGGTCCTCGCCGCAGGAGCCACTGGTCCCCAACTGCTTACGAACCGTTCTCCCGAGCTCTGACTGATCTCGCCCAAGTGTTTAAAGAAATGAGAAGCTGCTTAGTTCACCAGGTCATACTCATGGGGAAATATTTTTTCCAACGTTCAACCTTCATTCCACTTTCCCTGATTTCAGTTACGTGTCACTGCCCATCCATTTTTAATCACGCTAGCATATCAGATCAGCTTTGCTTTTCAGAGCCACATGGGGTTGGTTTTTTTTTTTCTCCTCATCCTCCTTCCCTGCTTGTTATTATTCCTGCTAGACGAGCTAGCTCTCACGATAGTTGTCCTCACTATAAATAGCTGAAAATGCACTTAACTATGCAAGCGGAGTGCTCCATGGAGGGAGGGAGCAGCGGTGGGGCAGGGAAGATGATGCTGGGAGGGAAGCAGCATTTCCCTCCCCCCCGCCCAGTTTGTTCAGTCAACAGGCGGAAGGACAATAATTATTTTGGGTAAGATTTATTCTTTGGAACTTCACTGCACATATATCTGCCCCAAGGTACCCTGAGGATTTAATTGGACAGAGCTGGCTTGTTGTAGCGGAGTTACTTCTGCTTGAACTGGTATACTCTTTCCTGATTTATTTATAGGTTAAACCCACAAAGAATGAAGAAGAGAAACATTATTAATTTAAACTCGCATTAAATAAAATTGTAATCTCAAGACTTAGGGCAGGTTTCATTTGTTTTTTAAAACAAAAAAGAATGTCATCCGGGTTATTTCATTAAGCTACCACTTGCTATGTATGACCATAAGCTACGAACGTAAAAAAGAATTAATTTTAAGGAATAACACTAGGAAGCAAAGGAGCCAGCACATCGAGCTATCAGACTTGTTTCTCCATACAAGAATGCCATGACAAGGGTGATGGCTTTAAACTGAAGCAGGGGAGGTTTAGACTGGATGTAAGGAAGAAATTCTTTCCAGTGAGGGTGGTGAAACCCTGGCAGGGGTTGCCCAGAGAGGGGGTGGAGGCCCCATCCCTGGGACCATTCCAGGCCAGGTTGGCCGGGGCTGTGAGCAACCTGATGTGGTTCAAGGTGTCCCTGCTCCTGCAGGGGGGTTGGGCTGGGTGACCTCTGGGGGTCCCTTCCAACCCAAAACATTCTATGATTCTATGAAAGACATCTTATCTGTTTTCACCCTATAAGCAAAATTTTTCTACGTGCCAACAGAATAGTATTGGCTAAACGGTGCGTATCAACCTAACATAAAGAAAAAAAAAAGGAAAAAAAAAAATCGATTTTAGCCGTTTGATGAACACTGTTCCCTATCTGTGAGGGCTGAATTGAGTGCGCTGCTGCTGAGGCACTTGGGCAGCTCAGAAAGCAGCCGCACACAGAAGTTGAGCATTGCAACCCAAAACATTCTATGATTCTATGATTGTTCAGCACCGCCAAGATCCACTGTCCATGCTTCTCCTTATGAAATTAACTTTTCTATGGGATTACTGACACATGCAAAGACAAAAAAGCCAGAACGATCACGCAATTCCAGTCTGGTTGGAGCTCTCTCTGCAAGTAAAACCAGACACTGCCCCCCCAACTGGAATTCTTATACCAGAACCCTGAATTACATAAAAGGGGAAAAAAAAAAAAAAAAAAAAAAAGTATCAACCACCCGATCTCTACATGAATAAAACCGTTCCTGTAAAAGAAAGCTTGGCAGATGAACATTTCCTTATAGGAAGTGGCAGCACATTAATTATTTCAGGCCACGGAGATGCTTCTTCTGATGAAACACTGTGAAAGGCAACGCTGCCCTGATGTCAGTGCTCCTGCCGTGCACCTCAGGCGGTGGTTTTCATCCTAGACTGGAACCCCAAGCGACCTGACAATTCCCATGCGGTTCAAGAGCGCCAAATGAGGCAGTCAGGGGATGAAGACCGGATTCCAGCGCGCTAACAGTTCTTTGACCTTATTTGTACAGTGCCCATGTGATTTGAGTCATCTCATGTGTACGTCTCGTAGACTTCCGGAAAAAGCTTAACGAATACAGCAAGTGCAGCTATGGGGCGAAAGGAACGAGTAGATGCGTGGGATTGAAGAGCTACCAAATAAAGAGCATCCCTCCTTAGGGGCAGGAGGCAGGAAACAGCCTCATCTGTTTCTTAACTACTTAAACTTCAGAAATTAGCAGTTTCCCTTCACATGCTATGGCATAGCCAGGAACCTTTAAACTCATCAGAATGTCAAAATACTCATCTTAGTGGCAGGTAAAGCATTACTTGACTTTCTGTTTAGTGAAATCACATTTATCTCATATTGTTAGTGACTTCTGGTTAGTGAAAAGACCTCTTTGCGCAGCACGATCTGTTCTTGAGTTTATGCAACCGTTCTTTAGCACTTAATCTCTGGCTTGCAGATACAAGTCAGAACTGAACCTTAAAGTATATGAAGCCCCTGGAGCACACAGATGTTACTGCCATCTCCTTTTAGTACTAACGTTCTTGTAGCCATGACGGTCAAATAAAGAGCCACCGTTTGGAGGGAGAGCTGTAACCTTTTACCAGTTCAAAAGCCATAACCACGGCGGGCAGGCAGCCGTGTATACACAGATACTCAACCACCCCCTCCTGCAGCTTCATCAGTTGAGTCCCAGGAGATTGCTTCCCACGACAAACCCTGCTTCGCTATTCCAGCTTCTGTCACGGTGTGCAGTTGTCATTAACTCCACTGGAAAAAAGTTATTAACCTACACATAGATTTTTAAAGCACGGAACACCCTGCGTGTTTTGGTTTTGCCCTCATGAACTTACTTCTAATAGCAGCAGTGTCTCTTGTTCTGTCCATTCTCTTCCAGCACTTGCACCTTTACTCTACAAGAGAAAAAATAAGGTAAATACAGGTCTTCTTGCACAGAACTTCATAGAAGAAAACATTGAGGAGGAAAGGGGAAGAATCTGTTATTTAACCCACTCAAACGTGTACCTTTCACAACCTTCCCACCACAGCTAACCAACGCCTGGTTATCTCATACAGCGGTCCAGTTCACATGACTTACTTACGCAGCTAAAGCATGCAGGGTTAAGAGATCCAGTCTTCCCAACACATCCAGGAGAAACTGCAACTCCTCGTTTATGCTGAGCCAAAGCGAAGTGATTTGGTGCCCTTTTCTCCTGGCTCCCAGCTATCTTTGCTTGCACATACAGCAAACAGAAAAGGGCATTTTCCTAAATAATAAAACCCCTTAGGAGTGCTGATGGCATTCTGGTCAGTGTGACTTTGGCCAGTAAAATTAAGCCAAGAACAGAGCAGTTCACAGCAAAGCACCCTGCAGTTCACACCAAAGGATGGAGGCAGCCAACAGACACAACGGACCATCTAACCCCCGAGCAGCTACTGTACCTTGAGGAGACAGCATTGCTCGATTTGGCTGGGATTCTTATAGCTTAAAGGGCACCTTTCTCAACGGAACAGGGTTTATATCAGCATAACTTGGGGCCAGTTCTCTTTAGTATCTTTATCAATGACCTGGGTGGGGGGATTGAGGGACCCCCCTAGCCAGTTTGCAGAGGAGCAGGTTGGACGGGGCTGTGAGCAACCTGGGCTGGTTCAAGGTGTCCCTGCTCCTGCAGGGGGGTTGGGCTGGGTGACCTCTGGGGGTCCCTTCCCACCCAAACCATTCTGTGATTCTATGACACCGAGTGGGGTGGGAGTGTGGGTCTGCTGCGGGGGAGGGGGGCTCTGCAGAGGGACCTGGCCAGGCTGGATCCATAAGCCCAGCCCAATTGGGTGAGGGTCAACAAGGCCAAGGGCCGGGTCCTGCCCTGGGGTCACAACAACCCCATGCAACGCTACAGTTGCGGGCAGGTTTAGGTTGGGCATGGGGAACAATTCCTTCCCCTTGGGGCTGTCAGGGGCTGGGAAGGGCCGCCCCGGGCCTGAGGGCCAGGGTTTGGGGGTGGGATGGCAGGGGTAGGGGAACGGTTGGGCTGGGGGAGCTGAAAGGGCTTTGCCAACCTAAAGGATTCTGGGATTCTATGATCTTTAGCCCCCATTAAACCTCTGCTTCCAAGGCAGGCTGACTGCACTGTGTAAGGTGTGTGCTGCTCCAAAAAGGAAAGTTCACCTATCTACAAGTAACTTGGTAAAAAAATCATAATAAATCTTTACCAATGAGATGAGCTATCTGAAAAGACAAGAGTAATTACAGCAAGATAACCTGCAGCAAATTTAGCAATCGCTTGTTCCAAGGGTTGCTGCCCCCAAATCTGTACCTGGTGGGTAACTCCTGAGGTTTCTAAAAGTTACAAAACTCTTGGTGGAAACTTCCCCTTCTGTGCTTACAGGCACCCTCATCCATTACATATCAAGCCTGTCACCTGCTTATGGAAGAACATTATCTAGATTGGGTGTCTCTGTGCAAGACCCCAGCAAAAGGAAAAGAGTATTTCAGATAAGGAAATCTATCCTATCTCACGCTGCATTTCCAGCAGATCAACCCACAGAGAACGTTGATCAAAGTGAGTCACCCAGCAGCTGATCAGCTCTCAAAGAGGCTGCTATGAACAGCCAAAAAAGTAATTGCCCCACGCATAAAACAGAAAGGGAAACCAACTTCTGCAAATAGATCTGCTCAAGTTCATTGTTACAGATGCTTGTAAATAGAGCCAGCATCTAGAACAGTGGAAGATTTATGGATTTGGTGAATATTTGTACCTCCCTAAACTAAGCGACGAAGTCACTCCATGAAATGCGATACGGAATCAAGCTTCATAAACAAATGTTGATATCTAGAACTGTTGTGGTTTGGGGTTTTTGGTGGTTTTCTTCCCCCAAATAATTCTCTCTCGAACTCCTGGGACAACGAACACGGTACTCACAGAAACCAGTCACACAGAACCGGCCTCACGCCAGCCTAAGGGAGGCACTCATCAGCAGAATGCTGCAGCCTTCCAGACCGAAGGCTATGCTGAAGTGGTGGGCTGGTGTTCCTGCAATACCTCCAAGCACAGACGCGTGAATCGGGCAGCAGGAGGAGTTCAAGGCAAGGGGTGATGGAATTACCAACATCACTGCAACGGTGCCACAAAACTTAGAACTACACAAAACCGTATGTTGCGATGACAGCGCCAAAACATCCCCTGCAATGGTTTTGTGACACCTTTTGTAATCAGGCAACTTTCTGGTGCTGTCAGTCTGGAAAACCCTGCTCAGACTTGGAAAATGGGATGGTTAAAGGCTCTGCGGAAAGATCTCAGATTCTCTATTAAGTTATTGGCTAGTTTGTTGATTCTGAACTGTTCAGGTAAAATATGCAATAACAAAACAAGAGCTCAGTGGCCAGAGCGCGACAGCATTGAGTAGCTTAGGGTAGGTACACCTCTCTATTTCTACCAAATCAGATCTCCAACACAGCCGTGAGGTATCTTAGCATCCTACACTGAGATGGAAGAAATCTAAAAGAGGAATGCAAAAGTAACATAAGTTACTCAATGTCACAGGGGAGGACACTTGAGAAAGAAACATGAATAGAAGGCACAGGGGAATAAATCCCCACGTACTTGCCTTTGCCAAAGTCTTTTTTGAGTAAATGTCTGTGCGAAGCCCAAAGTTCTGCAGATCAGTAGGCTTCTCTTTGTTTTTCTCAGGAAAACTCAACATCTGCTGAGCAGCTGGAACCTGTGAACAAACATTACAAGGGAAAGGTGAGAGGGGCAGGAAGTGAAAGTTATTCAAGGTTTTCAGACCAATGTTAAACAGAACACAGACTGAACAAATTTAAGTTGAATATGAGTCTACAGAGATGACTTTACATAACATCGCTTGCACGCAGTGCTGGCAGATTTGGTTTGGAGATTCCACCTACCTGAAACTCTCAACCTAGACAGACAAAAAAGGGAACGTTTCAGCAAATTGTGCGCAGATTATTCTACCGAGATGCTATATGGCACTGGCTAGAGCTAAGGCAAACACACATTCATGTGACCCGCGGGGCTCACCTGCGGAGTGCGGATGTGGAGAGGCATAAGTCCAGAGGGTGTGTCAGCCAGCACATTGAAGTGAGGAGTAGGCGGAGGTCCCATGGCCATGGGACGGCTTTCTGGATCCACTTGGTAGTTAATGAGACCCCACTGCTCCAGAAAAGCATGTACTCTGTGAAACAACACCACAAATTAAAACCTTAAGAACCAAAGCCTTGCTTACGCTTGACACTGCAGAAAGGAGACAGGGAAGGGAGAAGCGTACGTTTCTGGATCAAACACAGATCCAGAATTTTCTATAATCCTTCACTAACCATGAACAGCAATCCCAATCACATAGCACGAGCTTTGCACAGTCTTGAGCGCACTTCAGCATGTCGCGTAAAACAAAACATGACATTTTTGGTTATAGATAACAGGAAATGACTAAGGAGAAAGGCGAAGCGAAGCTATGGCCACATGCATGGAACCATTTACAGACAACGTACGGATTGTGAGGGCTGCACGACCCTTGGTTTGCTTCCCTCATCTACCTGTAGCTCTTCTCCACCGACTTGACATTTAGCAAGTTCCAAATTTCTAGGGCTCTGCTGCGCCTCACAGCTTAAGGCTGGCAAAACACAGAACTGACAAAGCTGAGCTGCAAAAGTAGAATTTCTGAAACAACTCCACGTGCTTACTAAACAGCAGATCCTAAATAATCACAAATTAAGATCCAAACTCCGTAGGCGTGGCTCAGCAGGCAGAGAGAGTATTACAAACAAACAAGAGCATAAAATAGTCTGGTTAGCAGAAAAGTGGGGAAAATGCCTGCTCATCAACAGCATGATGGCCACTGCCCACACCTGCGCTGTCCTACTGGAGCACTTCCATTTCTAAAGCAGCTCCCATTTCTTTTGGTTGAAGGGAAAGCAGTGGCTGAAAGATCCATGGCTTTTACCTCATGACAGCACACACGTCTCCAGTCAGATTCCTTCGGCAGGCAGTGCTGGTCAAGTACTCTTGAGGGTTTAAGCGATAGGTGTCAATCATGAAGTTGCGGTACGCCAGGTATCTGAAAGGCAATCGATACGTAGGTCACGTACGTTGATGTCTAACGAAGTTTAGAATATGTATTTTCGGATTCACCTTCTCCAAACACCTGTATTACTGACAAGTAAACACCAACAGATAATTTTTAACGATGAAATTTAAAAGTCACTATCAAAAGCAACAGGTACGTAGACTTGGTTTTTATATACTCAGCATGTCCCATCTCTTCCAGACTGTTTCATTCTGGATTTTATCCGTGTTTGGATTAGCAGTATGTCAGAGCATGCCTAAATTGCGAATCACACAAGTAGCTGCGGCAGTTTGGTCATTAACCAAACACTGCACAACAGACTGCTAGGTGCAGGAAGAAACTAACGGGGCCTGGCCTTCACATGGAAACAGGCTAAGTAATCCTTGTCGATCCCCTCCGTGAGCCTGGAAGAAGAAAAAGGTGCACTGGAAACCAGAAGTGGTACACTGGATGGAACGCTGCTCTTTCTACACGTGGACTTTTTAATGCATAAAAAGATCAGTAAGGGAAGGTGAGAGAACAGCAAAATGGAGAAGACAAGATCTTTGAAAAGCAGAGGGCCAGAAGCCAGCGCTCCCCGCTCACCGAGCTGGGAACAGCTAAAGCCCAAACAACTCCCATCACATTCCCATATTTCAGCATGCAACAGCCCAAGCAAGCAGGTTTGGGGGTTCAGCCCATTTCCTGCACTGTAGATATTGCTTCGCCGTCTTTTTCAGTAGGTTTCTGGAACGTGCTAATGCTTCCCAATACAAGTCGTTCAGACCCAACAAAAACGACCATAAAATTCTTGCTAGCCCTGTTCTTTACAGGGAACAAACCCAACCTGCCAACCATGAGTGAGTATCCTATGCAAAGATGTGCTCAAAGCAGCGGGTTATAAGCAGTTTCTACCTTTGGAATATTCAAGATGGGGATGTCTCATATGCAGTGTGCAAAAGCAGCTGGTAACCGAAAATCTAAAGCCTACAGAGATGGAACACCAATGCCTTTCACAGGCAAGACATAAGCAGACAGATGCTGCAAGTACACGTTCCTGCCAACATCCCACACCTCCATGCTGACCAAACGATATATGAAACTTGCTGGAAAAAAGTTATGGGGCTAGGAGTTGGGCTCCTCCATGCTGTTTGGTAGGCAGGAAACAAAAAGGGAGCTTCTTCCACAGAGGAACATTTTTGAATTCTCCTGGAGAGAACGGGGTTGCCACCTGCTCGAGAATAGGTATTTCAAAGCGGTCTTGACTGCAGAAATCAGTTTAATATTTATTAGTTAAGGTCACGTTACTAGGTGGAGAGAGAAGCCTAAGACAGAAACACGCCTAAAGTTTATTCTGAAGGGAGTTCGTTTTCGACGACAACATCACCCGTCAGCCAAAACTCGTCAAGAGCGAGAAAGGCAAGGCAACTGGTATTTAGTTAAAATCCCTTAAGACAGAAGCCACCCCCCAGGTAACTACCGTCACAAGAATGAACCTGGGTGAGCTTTTGAAACATGGTATTTTGCTTGGCCTGAAAACCAAGCTGGAGGCAAGACAATTCCATTGAGAAGGGTGTTTCTATTTTTATTTAAAACGAAAACACGAAGCCAAGACCACATGCTACTCCTACAATCCCTAAACGGCAACAAAAAAAAATACATCTCTAGGATAACATCAGGATTGGAAGGAGTCCCTGATTTACTTCACTCATGGGCAATAACCAGTAGCAGCTCACGGATGAGCATCAGGAGACCTGATGTGTTGATGTCAACTGAAAAAGGAAGCATAGGATTACATATGATGACCACATCGATGGCAAATATGAAAGATTCTGGTTCTTCCACAATTCAATCTGTTTGCAGCCTTCGACATCAAGTCCTAGAAACCCCAAAAGAAAAACATGCTGAGTAATAAAACTGATGGAGCGGAGTTAGCGTCAAATATGTTTTGGACCGAACATGTTTTGGAATCCCTGTGATGCAGCTACAGTCACCTCTGCAACCCAGACATGTAAAGAAGTTGCAAATAAAGACTATAGCCTGAAAATCCTTCGGGGTGCCAGGGACCTCAGGAGGTCTCTAAACCAATCTCATACTGAAACCACGGTCAGCACTGCATTCTGACCAGGTTGCTTAGGGCCTTGTCCAGCAAGGCCTGTAAGAGTCCAAGGAAGAACATTCCCAACTTCCCAGGGCCCCATCCCAACCTTCTTCAGAGTTAAAAATTCCCCTTATATCAAGCTAGAACTTGCTGTGTTTCAGTTTGACTTATTTTATTCCTGCCACAGACCTCAATAACGAGCCTGGCTCCATCTTCTCAGTAACCTCCTTGTGCTTTGGGCAACTACTGCAAGGTCTCCCAACCCTTCTCTTCTCCAGGCTGAAAAGGCTTTGTTTCCAATTTCTATCTCAATATGAGATCAGAAGCCTCACAAAATAACAGCCGGGCCTGAGAAGAGGCGATTCAAGCACAAGAACACTCTCTCTGAAGCCTGCCTTGTTTTCCCGCTGGAAGAGCACGGCAGGAGGATATTGCCGCTATCGTTCGCACTAAGAAAAAACTGAGGAAAAAAGTTAAGTTTGAAGTAGTGTTGTGCATGAAAAATGCACGACTTTGCTGATGTTAAGACCACGCAGTGAGAAGACACCTCAGATGCTTCACTTCGTGGTTAATTAGAAAAAAAAAACCTGGTTTAAAATCCCCCAAAGCTGCTTTGCTACTAGACCAAGATTTGATACCAAGATAAAGCGAACACAGCTGGTCCAGTCCCACTGCCCAAGTCAGCAAGCATACAACGGCCTTCACACATTTAAGATTTCTTTTTTTTGGAGGGGGTGAACTCTGAGGTTTTGGGATTATTATTTTAATGGACACAAGCCCATTGGTCAGAAGCCTGATGCTGACCATCCTGCTCTAATCAATCCCCTCACAAGACTGCTCCGAGTAACTACGTTTACTGTTACAACAGAACATCCTCGGGGAAGGGGAGGTACTTTTACTAACACACACGACAAGCCTTGCAGCAGATTCTCAAGCATTTGATGCAAACCCAGCAGCTTATCTCGTTACACTGCTGAGTCAGAGCAGAAGTTAATCATTTGATGTATGAAAAATCCTGCAATACCTCAAGACAATAATCAGCTCTTTTTTTTTTTTTTTTAAACAGCTTCAGGGAAGCTGTTTAAACAACTGTGTGCGTATAACCTTGAAATAAGAACACTTAAATTCTGCAGTAGATACCAGATCCCACAAGGCATTCTCTCTTCAACTGAGAGAACCCCTCCGCACCTGGATCGGGGTAACCCCCGGGATCCATACAGGCTGGGGGATGAAAGGATGGAGAGCAGCCCTGCCCAGAGGGACTTGGGGGTGCTGGTGGATGAAAAGCTGGCCATGAGCCGGCCATGGGCGCTGGCAGCCCAGAAGCCAACC